ACCATTTTAAAAATTGTGGGTGCTCCTATTCACAGATCTCCCACATCTGTTTGGCCTAGGGCTACCATCTCTAGGTTGGGAAATTCCTGGAGATTTGGGGGCAATGCCTGGGGATGGTGGAGTTTGGGGAGATCAAGGAGCTCAGTAGGCACATGACACTGTGGAATCTCCCTCCAATAACTGATTTCTGTCCTCTGAAGATCAATCATAATTCTGGGAGATCTCCAGGTCCCAACTGGAGGTCAGCAACTCTAGTTTGGCACAAAAGTACTCAGTGGACTTGGAAGGGTGTACTTAGGATGGTGCTGTTAATCACATATGCTAGGATTTAATTGGTACAATATACAAATGGATTGGTACAATCCATACAAATGGACTGTAGTAAAAATAATTTTGAATTAGAATGGCTTTTGGAGATTTGTATTCATATTTCTAGTTCTAATAACAAATAACATTTAGTTAGGGGCTGTTAAATGTTGACAACTACTGGTACCAATGAAATTGCATAAAATAAATGAACTTCTGCTTCTTACTGGAAACAAGACAGTTTGACCTGGTACAGGTATTAGTTTTTCTAGTCATGGGGAAAGAGATACACAATGCAATTGTGTGTAGAATTTCTCCAGTTTAAGCCAATTGAAGCAACTCTGCCTAATATTGTGCTGACAATCCCGCATCTGCCTCCAAATGTGACTGTTCATACAAGAACGCCATCTGTGTGGACGGACGCTGGTTGCAAATACCTGTATTAGCTTTCATTTGATCGATTGTTACATCCTGACCTCACATTTCCTCGTGTAGCCACCTGGGCAGCCCCATGGGGCCCAGACAGCATCAGGGTGCTCCTGACAGCCTGACCAGAAGGAAACACAGCTGAGCCAGAAGAAATGCCAGGATGCCAGTGGGAGACCAGGACCAGCTCTGGCCAGCCACACTGTTAAAAGACAGCCAGGGTACGGAGGGGGGGGGGAGACTTGGAGGAAGTGGTAAGAGCACCGTGGAAGGGAGAAGGAGGTAGCACCAGGCCTTATGAGAAGGTTGGGCTGGGGAGGGGACACATCTGGCCAGGAGATCTTAAGAGGCCTCCAGGGCATTCAGGGACTATATGTGCCAAGATTGGGCCAGGAGACTAACCAGGCCCTAAAGTATCTCTTCTGTATCAGGTTTAGCTTAGTTTTATATGCTTACTATTCTTTTCCTTGGATCTGTAACCAGTAGGCTTGATGGATTATTTTCCCGGTCTTGTGCTCTAGCTTAATTTGTAGCAATAAAGTTTTCCTGTTTAAGAGAACAAACTGTGATTCAAAGTACTCCTTGCACACCTTAATCACTTGCTCACAAAGATGCACACACAGGAGAAGGGCTGAAGCAACTGGCAAACTCTGCCTTTTGCATGTGCTCAGAGGCAACCCTTACTAGTGCCTCCCAAGTCACTGGTAATATGGGTGGGAGGCTGGATTTCTAACTTGGGGTGGTGGCACAAAGAAGAGGAATGCAGGTTACATGAACACAAACACACCATGTGCATGTAAGCATGCATAGACCCAGAGTGGATTTATTTGAGGATTTGACACAGTCTGGAATTGGATCAGAGCACAAACTGACAGGAAAATTTATCATTGCACTGACAAGAAGAAAGTTTTTTGATCTCTAGGGATGCTTGAATAAGATATGGTGGTGACCCAATGCACCTGGGTGAAAGCAGGCAACAGAGGCCCAGCAAGGAAAGGCAGAGGGGACAAGGGAAGCCCTGCAGCTTTTCCTCAGAGGGCCACACAAAGGACTCTACATGTGAATGTGGCATCATCATTGCCCAGAGGGAGCCAGCAGAAATGAGGCACAACAAGATTGCAGAGAATGGCTGGAGCAGCTTTGCTCGTACCTGAGATGGATGGCCAGAGGAATGAGGAGGCAGCATTGTCCACCAACCCAGCAGAGTGCCTTTGTCATATAGCAGGCATAGACAGACACATTCAGGTGCTCACACAAAGTCCACAGTTCAGTCCCAAAAGTCCACAAGTTCACATCCCAGAGGGTCATTACCAGAAGGGATGAACCAGAGAGCACAATCAGGAGGTCCAAGGGTCATCCACAAGCCAGAGGGCCACAAAGTCAAAGTCCCAAACTGGTCCAAGGTCACACAAAGAAAGCAGAATGACTTCTCTCTTCCGCAACATGCAGGCTCCCAGTCCTGGGTTTTACAGGCACTTCCTAACAAGTCCTTGTTAGCAGCCAGCTGCTTGGGAGTACTCCAGGCTGTCATCAGCAAGCAGCTGGCAGTGGACCAGGAGAAGTGTACTCTGCCTCCTTGCTTGCAGCTCCCTTCTATGCTTCTGTCTTTGGCACTTGAAGGGTGGAGTTGAGCCTGGTGAACTGGTCTTAATCACCTGAGTCTCACCTGCTGACACAGAGCTGGGTGGTGGCTGTGGATCAGCTGCTGGTGGTGAGTCTTGGTCAGCCTGCAGCTCTTCAGCCTGCTTTGTTGGCTTCTGCTGACTCAGAGCCAGCCACGTGTAGCTCCCCTTCTCCTGAGGACTTCATGCTGAGCTCAGGCTGACCCACGACACCCCTCCTGAAAGCACAGAGGTGGGTGCTAATCCACAGTCACTCATGACTCATGCTGAAAAGATGAAAGCCATGGAATTAGAAATGTTAAAGCTGAAACTCTAAGAGAGAGAGAGAGGCAGCATGCCCACCGATCCATGCAACATATGAGATTCAAGCAAGTACAGCAGGGAGAAAGGGTGGGGGTAGTGCAGCCGAAACCCCCCCCCCCAACTCTGGCAAGGTGGACTTCAAGAGATTGCCAAGGTATGTTGATGGGGTTCACTAGGAACTATTTCTTGTGAACTTTGAAAACGCTTCTGAGAAGAACATCTCCCAAACAGAATTTTTGCAAGTTTTACAACCTCAGGTTTATTGGCATTATTGGGTGAAGTGTAACCAAGTCAAATGAATGACTTTGACCAGTTCAAAAACAGAGCTTATACAAATTTTGGGTTGTTGCCAGTAATGTGTAGGCAAACTGAGTGACAGATGGGAACGGAGGCAGATGAAGCTTCAGGCCATTTCATTGTTCCCACACAGACATTGCTGAAAAGCTCAGACTCTGGAAGCGGTCATCAATCTGCTAGTGCTAGAGACTTTGTCTAATGCCCTGCTGAGAACACTGAGAGAGAGGGCAAAACTGAAACACTCTCAGGCTGGAGATGACTGTAGAAGTGGAAAGGGGGAGGAAATGGACCAGGGGACCTCAAAAAGCACACATGGAGAGGGTGTACAGTCAAGTGAAAGTTCTCAGTGTGCAAACTTCCTGCCAGCCACAATCCTGTCAGCCCACCAAGAGAGTAAGGAGCCAGAACCTGCATTAGCTGTGGAAAGGAGGGGCATCTTTGCAAGAACAGTCACACCAGAGCACCACTGTGAAGCAGGGCGGCTCAGCCAGGCTCCGTGAAGAGAATTCTTCCCTGTTCCCAGGACAGAGAATGGGAGGGGGAAAGGTGTGTTTTGTGACTGCTGGAGAAACAAATAGAATTGGAGGCAAGAAACTCTGGGTTTGGAGGGACACGGGCTTGACCATTTCATCAGTTTGTGGAAGTCTGGTGGGCCCAAAACAGATCCTTCTGAATGAATATGTTCTTGTGGAACTTTTTGAAAATTCAGTATGTAAGCACGTAATGCAAGGGGTCCCAATTTCATATCACAGTTAGGAGGGCTTTGGGGGAAGTGTCTGTCCATTGAAAGTTTCCTTCCTTGTTAAAAGCAGGGGAAAGGCTTGTGTCACTTTAACGTAAGTAAAGCAGCAGCAGCAGGAGGAGGGGCTGTGAGGAGATGCTGGGTCGCTTCCTAGAGAAAAAAGCTGTGAGGTTTTGGGAGAAACAGAGCTGGAAGGTACCTGTTGATCTGTGTAATGAAAACAGAGTAAAAGGAGGATAGAAGACTTCCCCTTCATCCTCACCACTGCTCAGAAGGCTCAGATGCAAGAAGTTTGCCACAGTTTTTTTCTGACAAGTCTAGAAAGACTTCACTAGTATAGCACACTGTTTTGACAGGGTATCAGCCACCCGTTGCTTCTGCACCATGCAGAGCCGCTGCGAAGCAGACTGAGTGTGTGGAGAGAGAGAGATCAAGGAGATGCTGCAATTGGGGGTGATTAAGCTGTCCTAAAGCACCTGGTCTGCTCCAATAACACCAGGCAATTTTGTGAAGATTACAGAAAGCTGAACAGTGTTACTCAGGCAGATGGATATCCTGTGCCTTGTATGGATGGAGTCTTAGACATGGTGTTGGGGGCAAGTTTATTAATACTGCTGATTAGTCAAAAGGGTGTTGGCAGATTGCACTGGCTCCTGAGACATGGGTAAAGCGAGCTTTCACCACCAACCTGAGGCTGAGTTCACAGTGTTGCCCTTCAGGCTGAAAAATGCCCCTATGACATTTCAGTGCCTGATAAACTGTTTGTAAGGGGACTGAAATTTGCTGTGGCTTTTTTTTGCCCTCAAGTCACAGCTGTCTTATGGTGACCTCCATAGGCAAGAGGTGTTCACAGGTGGTTTGCTATTGCCTGCCTCTATGTTGCAACCCTAAACTTCCTTGGTGGTCTCCCTTCCAAATGCTAACCAATGCTGACACTGCGTAGTTTCTGAGATCTGATAAGACCATCAAGTCGCTGGTAACATGGGAAGTCTGGATTCCTAACTTGAGGGGATGGCACAAAGAAGAAGAACATGCTTTACGTGCACACAACATGTAAATAAGCACAAACAGACCCAGGACAGAGTTATGACAGCCACTACAGCTTATTAATACTTCTGAAAGATGCACTTTGTACTCTATCATTCAAAGATTCAGGTCAATTATTAACAGGAATTCTGCCCCTAAAGCCAACATGATGCTTGGCAAACTATTAAGCAATGGAGGGAGGGGGGAAGATTCAGAGAGCCGTCAAAAAGGAGGGAAGGCTGAACTAGCTATGTTTGTTCCTAACACCTAAGGGACTGATGACGCTTAATGGTTTGGAGAGAGGAATCTCCAGAGAGCTGAGGGACATGTGGCAAAGGTTTGTTTCTGATTTTTATGTAGGCTTTCTTTATAAATAGCAGCTAATGCTGGCTTTTGTGGTTGTTGGCTATGATTTATTGGCTTTTGTAAGGGCTTAGGAGTATTTATCTCAAGAATGCATATGCTGTATGGACCATATCATGTTACTTCATTAAAATTAGCATTCTCAGTCAAAATGGTTACATTTTGTGGTGAATGTGAAAGGGAACATGTGGTATTCATTTAATTCCCTCATGGGCTATTTTACAACACAGTGGGGATGCAGAAATAAATCAATATTGCAAAAACAACTGTAATTGGTTTTCATTAGGGCCAACCAAAAATCCAACAAAGTAGTAAGTTTTCAGCCCCACCCCACCCCCGAGAACTTTTTGTCAGGTTGGATGCTCACTGAATTTTAATGTGCAAAAAATAATGGGGACCAACTGTAATGGACACACGATGCTAATATTATATCAGCTTTTATTATATTTGCCCGTTCATTCCTGGACCCAGTTCAAAGTGCTAGTAGAGTTGCTAACAACCTAGAGAGAGAAAAATCCCTGGCTCTTTAACAGAGGCTTGATGGGATGGTATTTACCAAGTGATGTTATTTACCTCTGTGTCATGAAAAACTTCAAAGTTAAGCCTCTTTTAGAGGGGCAAGGCATTTTTTCTCCCATGTTTTTGGCAACTGGCAATGATCTCTACGGGCCTACATGGCTTGGGACCAAAATCTTTGAAAGACCTGCTATGCCCATAATGGCAGGTGTTTTCCTACCATGCATACCCACATCAGTTGACATCAGACTGCAGGAAGTGCAGGACAGAAGTTCTTCATCTTTGGCACTCAGGTTTTGGACTATCAGTGGCTCCTCCAGAGTCTGAGGTCTTTTACATCATCTATTACCTGATATTTTTAACTGGAAAAGCTGGGGATTGAACATGGGACCTTCTACGTGCCAAACAGATACTCTAACACTAAGCCAGGGACCCTCTCTCTCTGAGTAGCTGGCCTTTGAAGAATGGTAAGGCACAATCTCTGCATGCTTAATTATTTTCTGTCATAAATGCAGTTTAAATTCTATTTGATAGTGTTACTTTTCTTCATATAGATACAATCTGGCTGTTATGCTAGCATCCTTCTTATTTTTCCAAACCTGGGGACTGGACACATCAAAGCCCAATATTTTGCTAATAATGGCAGATGACCTTGGCTACGGTGATTTGGGCTGCTTTGGTAATACCACAATTAGGTAAGTGTAACTTTGAAAGTAATTCAGTCCTGTCCCTCAGTCCACAAAGGAGGAAATCAAGAAATACATACAGGAAATGTGCACAAAGTACCACAGAACAATTCAGTTGAAAGTAAAGGTATTTATGAAGGAAGAAATGCAACCTAGAATTTTAAAAACCCAGAAAATGTCTCACTGACAGTTGAAAATCAAAGAAAATGCTGAAATAAATCATGCAGTACAATTACTTAGTTTTTTCTAAATACCTGTGGCAGACCAAGGAATATTTTCTTGGTGGTGGAAAGTACCTTTAAGTCACTTAACTTACGGCAATCTGTAGGGTTTTCAAGGCAAAAGACATTCAAAAGTGGTTCGTCATTTCCTGCCTCCGTGCAGCAATCCTGGGCTTCCTATATAGTCTCCCATCCAAAAACTAACCAGGGCCAAACCTGCTTCACTTCCAAAATCAGGCTAACCTGGGCCGAATGTTTTATTACATAAGGTTTAGAGAATCTCTTGCTTCATTCAGTTTTGTTTCACGTAGAAATTAATTCTAGCTAGTGGAAGTTTTATAAACAATTAGCCATAAGCATAAATTGTGCATGAGCAACTCAAAAGCAGTTAAACCTCATATTTAAAATATATTTTGCTATTGTTTTTTCAACTTTACAACCTATTGGTAATAACTGTTCATTTTGCATCTGCTGTAACCTGATTTCCTGACCTGGGAAAGTGAGCCAGTATTCTATTCTTTATCCTTTTTTAGCAACTCACTTTTGTCTAGCATTGCTAGCATTTAACTTTTACAACATAGTGCCCCAATGTCTCTGTAAGAGGTGCAATTGTTAAACTGATTATTCATAATGAATTTTTAAAATATAAAATATCTGTTTTGTGACCTACATGTTAAGATGTTTTGCATGTCATTAATTCATAGGTCTTCATAAATCAGAAGCAACTTCATGGCAAGTAACACACATTCAGCCCTCTATATTGACCAGCGAATGAAGGCTTTTCATTGCTTTACCTTTTCTTTGTCATCTGCAGACAGGATCCAATTGATGATGTAATCATATTAAAGTATCACTTTTTTATATCTAGGACCCCTAATATTGATCAACTAGCAAAGGAAGGAGTGAAACTTACTCAGCATATTGCTGCAGCATCCCTCTGTACCCCAAGCAGAGCAGCTTTCTTGACTGGCAGATACCCCATCAGATCAGGTTGGCAATCTCTTTAGTGGATGACTGGTGCTCATAAACCTGGAGGACAAGTCTGTCCTAACCGTGGTGCACAGAAGACAGTGGTGAGCTCTTGCCTTCTGTGTGACATTGTAGCTTTGGGCCAGGGTATGGCTGTTGAAAGGAGCTGCGGTGGCTCAAGTGGTTAAGACGCTGAACTGCAGGCTGTGGAAGGTCGGTAGTTCAGCAGTTCGAGACCCGGGTGTCGCATGACGGAGTGAGCTCCCGTCTCTAGTTCCAGCTCCTGTCAACCTAGCAGTTCGAAAGCAAGAAATTGCAAGTAGATAAATAGGTACCACTTCAGTGGGAAGGTAACAGCGTTCCGTGCACCTTGGTGTTTAGTCATGCCAGCCACATGACCATGGAAACGTCTTCGGACAGCGCTGGCTCTTCGGCTTTGAAACGGAGATGAGCACCGCAACCCTAGAGTAGGAGTCGACTGGCTTTCGAGCAAGGGAACCTTTACCTTTACCTTTATGGCTGTTGACCATCCAATTCAACAGACTTGCTGAAGCTAAGCAGTTATCTGATCAGTGCCTAGGTAAGAAACCTCCTGAGAACATGTGGACTCCACTTGGTGTTCTGTAATCAAAGGAAGGTGAAATATAAATGTAATACAATAAAACTGGGCATGCATAACAGGCCCCAGCATGACAAAATAAAGCAAGTTTCTGTGCCTCTTGGTCAGTTATGAAGGAACACGGGTCTCCAGTGCCATTTAGCTTAATCATGCCTCAAGTGTATGAAGAACTTGCACAGACCAACCATTCCAGTAGTCAAGCTGTAACCACACTGGGGGGGGGGGGGGGGGTGTTAGCTGAGGGTGGACTTATGAAGGCCAAGCCAGTGATCTCAAGAAACCAGTGAGATGTTATCAGTTCTTGCTTGCTTTGCTTGCTGGGATCATCTGTTTGGGCTACATTCACTAGATGGTCTTCACAAATGTGGTGGTGGTGGAAAATGCTGTGAAGTCACAGCTGACTTATGTTGACCTTGTAGGGTTTTCAAGGCAAGAGACATTTAGAGGTGGTTTGCCATTGCTTGCCTCCACATCCCGACCCTGGTATTCTTTGGAGATCTCCCATCCAAACACTAGCTGACCCTGCTTGGCTTCTGAGATTTGATGAGATCAGGCTGGCCTGAGCTATCTTCCCACATTCCTCTGTCATTTTATATCCTCCAGGAAATGGACCTGGAAGCCGAATGGGCAAGGATGGCAATGAAGCTCATTTTTCCCTCTCTTTATGTTTCAGGTATGGCATCCAGCAATACACAGCGAGTCCTTTATTGGACCGCTGGCTCAGGAGGGCTCCCCACCAATGAAACAACTTTTGCAAAGCTATTACAGCAGCGAGGCTACATAACTGGCCTGATAGGTACGGTATGTAAATCTCTTTAATTTCTTTGAACTGCCAGGTAAATTTGCCATGTCTTGGGCTGTGACCTGAAGATGCCTGGTTTCAGAATCCAACTGAAGAATTACATCTCAGAGTGAGCAACCATAATAAGGAAGTGAACTGTTTCCCAAAGGCCTCATTTGAACCTTCTCTCCCCATCTGAAGGTGTAGTCTGCTTTCTTTTGGACACTGGGCTTTCCATACAGACCTTCCAGGAAGCCTCTGGATGGCCATTTTGAGACAGGATGGTGGACTAAATGAATCTTTGATCTGATTCAATATGGCACTACTTAGATTATCTGTTTATAGGATTGCCATTCCCCAGGTCCGGGCAGGAGATCCCCCACTTTCTTGGGCTCCTGCCACCGTGGACCACCTGGCCAGCAGAAGGAAATCCGCCCCCCAAGCAGCAGCATCATGCATGACATGCTGACATCACCCAGAAATGGCATCAGCACACTGGTGATGTCACGGGGGTGATGCTCTGCTTTTTGAGCAAAACTCTATAGTTTAGGTCGTTTTTACCATAGAGTTTTGCGGAAAAAGCAGAGTGACACCCCCAATGTTACCGACCTGCTGACATCACTTCTGAGTGACATCAACATGTCGCATGATGCCCCACCCACTCCTGGAACACCCCCAAAAGCCCCTTGCTGGTGAGACAGAGCGACCTGGCAACCCTATTTGTTTTTCTATTGGCTTAGGCTGAAGTAGAAGAATTAATGGAGATCAAGACTTGAGTAGCTTCTCTGAAGAATTTGCCTTAATTATATGAAGCTTAATTATGCAGCTGCATACTGATGTCATTGCTGTCTTTAGAACACAGTTGGTAGTGGGATTGTCTCTTGAACATGTACATTTCAGATGAAGTGTGCTAATCATCACTGGTTGTCAGTATGTTACCAGCATTGTGAATGTGCCTTTCATAACAGGAGGTAAAATAAATACTTTTAGGCTGATGACTGGTTAAACGATCCATTTTTGTCTTTTCAGGAAAATGGCACCAGGGTTTGAACTGTGAATCTTGCAACGATCACTGCCACCATCCTTTGAACCATGGCTTTGATTATTTCTATGGCACCCCTTTTACCCTTGTAAATGATTGTCAGTCTGGGAAGACTCCTGAGGTTGGAGTAAAACAGCGAGCTACCTACTGGTTTTACACAGAGATAGTTGCGCTTCTGGTGTTCACTCTTCTGCTGGGAAAAGTGACTGGTCTGTGCTCTGTAAAATGGAAAACAATTGCCTTCATCACATTGTGTGGCATTTTGTTTTTCTTCTGTTGGTTTGTCAGTTATGGATTTGTTAATTATTGGAATTGTATCATATTAAGAAATCATGTCATTCTTGAGCAACCGATGGAGACAGAGAACTCTGCTTCCAGGATGCTGAAAGAGAGCATCTCTTTTCTTGAACGGTAACCAATAACTTCCCCCCTTCCTCCATAATTCTGTCAGATTTCAGACGTGTATCCTTATTGGGAATTTCTAGTAAATAAGTGCATAAGATGAAACACAACTCCCTTTGCATCTGTTACATAGGGTCACAGGAATGCTTTTAAGTCACTGGCAGCAGGCAGGGTGCCCCACACAGTTTCTGTTGATGCCCCCACTTACCACGGCGAGGCCTCTGTGGTGAGCCACCACAGGGGGTCCAATGGACCATCCCCAATTGGCAGGGACACAACCCAATGACAGCCAGAGGCCGGTGCCCTTCCTGCAGCCCAGCTGGCTGGTGGGGAGGGGTGGCTGGGAGAAAAGGCTGTGTTATTCACAGGCAGGGCACAACAAGGGCCCAACCCAGCCAAGGCACAGCTAGGAAGCTGGTTGTCCAGGAGGGAATGAGGGGACAGGATGCCGGCTGGAAGGAGGTAACGAATGTCCTGTTTAGGTCTCCCAGTGAGCTTCATGGAACAATGGAGATTTAAACCCTGGTTTTCCAGTTCTTAGTCTGGTATTATGTTATGCTAAATGCTACACCACATTGGCAAACTTCAATCTAGGGCTTCGTGATTCATAATCCAGAGTCTCAACCAGCGTTCCCTCTAAGGTGAGTTAGTGTGAGCTAGCTCAGTTTTTTAGCCTCTGGCTCACACATTTTTGTCTTAGCTCAGGAAGGATGGCTCCAGAGCAAACTGATTTATGCAGTAGCCAAATCGCTTGCTCACTTTAATGCCAGTTGCTCACAAAGTTGCTCACAAGACTCCATAACATAGAGGGAGCATTGCTCTCAACCACTGTAGTACACAAGGAGGACATGAGCTTTCTCTTATCAGAGTGGCCGTGCTTAGTGTGAGCTCCCAGTTTCAGCACAACATTGCAAATGCTTTGGCTGCTATGCACACCACTGCGCATTCCCTTCTCCTTCTCCTTCTCCTCTCCTCATATTTTATGGACTCAACTCCAATAATGGACTCAACTCCCATCCAGTAAGAAGAAGGCTTTCCACATAGCAAAAGGAACCGATTTGCTCTAATCCTACCAGTCAATGTAGTATATTTCCCAAAATATTTGGTTCAGTGTTGGAGCATCAGGATTAGATCTCTGTTCAACTATGAATCTTGTTTAGTTTATAGATACTCCTTAATGGGGAAAACAATTAAAGGTGTTCTCTCTGTTCTTTTTTTATTCTACCCCAGAAACAAAAAAGGACCATTCCTCCTCTTTGTGTCTTTTTTGCATGTCCATACACCACTTGTCACCACAAAAATGTTTCGTGGGAAAAGCAGGCATGGTTTATATGGTGACAATGTAGAGGAAATGGACTGGATGGTAGGTAAGTCATATATTTAGCAGTTCTACTTTCTGAAGGGACAAAATAATGACCTTTCTCCTTTTCCTGAATTTGTAGGAACTATAATGTTGTTGTGTCCTTTCTCCATGCTCCAAAATTTCTGGTCATATTATGAGCACATGCACATTACTGCAGGTATAGAATATTGGACCAATTTTTTTCCCTGATATGAGATTTTCTTATAAAGGACATATTTGATTCATCTCATCAAGGTAAAGGACATATTTGGTTCATCCCATCCAGATAACTGATGTCAGGAAATGGGGAGGGAAAATGAGGGACACTTGTGTATTTTATATCTGTAGTGATAAATTCATGCTCTTAGTCTAATCAAATAGGAATTTTACAGATGCAATTTCTGATTGGCTTTAAATGAATTCTTGGGACTTTTTGCTATATAGGAAAAATTCTTGCTGCTGTTGATGAAAAGGGATTGAAGAATACCACTTTTACTTACTTCACATCTGACCATGGAGGATTTTTGGAGGCAAACGATGGATATGTCCAACTAGGTGGCTGGAATGGTATATACAAAGGTAAGATTGTCATGTGTACCTGCAAAACTTTGAGGGAGGGAGGAAAAAGTTACCCTGGATCTTACAGTCTTAGATCTAACTTTTATTTTAAGGAATTGAATAGATCAGGCATCTGTGGAATTTTTCACCAGCATAAAACTTGAGTGTTAAAAGTCTACTGAATATTGTTTCTAGCATCACTATTATCAGTTTTTATGCCTACTAGCACTTTATAATTTTGGATTGTTTTTAGAAGGTTTTAAGATTGTCAGTAATTGTTATTTATGTGTTTTATTCTGTTGTAAGCCGCCCTGAGCCGGCTTCAGCTGGGAGGACGAGGTATAAATTTGATAAATAAATAAATACATGCCTTTCTTTGGATGTTACATGTCTGGCAGAACTTTGTGGCAAGGTGGGACTGACCAGTTACAGTCTACGCAGAATCAGTTACTGGTCGCAACCTTGTCTGCAAGTCCAGTACTAGAATACTAGGACATGGAGGGAAAAAAGAAAAACCTATTTCATAATTCATGAGATAGTAGTAGTCACAGAAATAATGTTTGGGCTCTAGGTGGTATAAAAAGTTAATGTTCCACTATGGTAGTTGGTGTATAGTGAGAGAAAAAAATTGGTTCTGTATTATTTTTCTCTATAAGATAACTGCAACAGTTACCCCAGAGTGAGAAAGGTGAATAAATTGGTCCTTGCAAGGGGAAAATAGTAAAAATGTTGGTCAAAGATAATGACTGATTTCGCACTAGAGCTGCCTCGATGTTGCACCGCCGTTTGCCCCGATACTATTGGTCAATTTCACACCCGAAGCTGCGGGGCTGCATTTTGACTCGTGGCTTTGCCCGATTCCCCCCGCAGTTTCGTGATCTGAATGGCAGAAAATTGGTCAGCTTCAATAAAATGACTGTGTACACTATTTCTTCTATGTATACCAACCTGTCTTATAATGGACAGAATGAACTCTTTTTACTCAGTTCAGATTCATGCATCTTTTGTAAGCGGGAGAGGGGCTTGTTTAATTCTGACTGCAGCTCTAAACTGGCTATAGTAACATCCAGGATAGATTACTGCAACGTGTTCTATGTGAGCCTGTCTTGAAAAAGTGTTTTAAAAGTTCATCTGTGAAAAAAATATGCTGCACCAACTTCCATAAACAGATTACTTCTGCATTAAAAGTTCTTCCCTGGCTTCCAATTTGTTTTCAGACTTTTTTTTTGAAGTACCAAAGTTAACTTTTAATACCTAAAGGAATGCCCACATCCACCTGGTCCTGCTCATTCATTTAGATATTCACTTGAGGCATTTTTCCATAGTACCTCCGCCATCACAGTAGAGACATGTTAATGGATTTCTTTTCCTAGGTATGTGTCCCTGGCACGATCTTTTGCTTACTTTTAAGTACCAAGTGAAATCTGACGGGATCTCTTATACTTTTACGTTTTTTAAAATTTGGTTTGTATTGCTGTTGCTTCCCCCCCCCCATTCAGATTTGGAGGAGAGCTTTTGAAAGCATGAAACAATTTGTCAGTGTGAGGCAGAAGGTTGGTTGGACTGGAGTAATGAATTTTAATTATTTCTCAACCTTTAATTACTTGTCTCTTCTACTGCTTCTTTCACGACAGGTGGAAAAGGCATGGGAGGCTGGGAAGGAGGAATACGTGTGCCTGGAATAGTTAGATGGCCTGGAATGGTCCCTGCTGACACTATTATTGATGAGCCAACACATCTTATGGATGTTTATCCCACAGTAGCTCACCTGGCTGGGGCATCATTGCCACAAGACAGGTACAGAATGCTGGTCTAAAGTCAATTAAGATTAGGAAGTCCAGAGTTTTTCAGTGAATCTGGCAGACAAACTTACTTTGTTCATCACTCATGATCAAACTGTGAGCTGATCAGGGACAGGCCCGTAGACACAGTGGGGTATTTAGGGGCAGTGCCCACTCACTCATGGCCAACACCCCACAACTCCCGCTGTGGGAGTTGTGCCGGCAGGTAAGAAAAAACCCTTCTCTTCTCCACCTACCTGCCAACAGGATCTCTCTCTCTGTCTGTCTCTCTATCTCCTGCTCCCCCACCCCCACAGATTTCCCAACACCTCATGTTTTTCTGGCTACGCCCCGATCAGGGATATGTTGGGACCAATGTTCCCTCTAAGCTGTGGAGTCTTGTGAGCAAAAATTCTACTTTGTGAGCTACTGGAATTCATGCTGTGAGTGAGCCATTTGGCTACTGCATAAATTAGTTTGCTCCGGAGCCATCCTTCCTGAGCTGAGACAAAAATGTGTGAGCCAGAGGCTAAAAAACTGTGAGCTAGCTCACACTAACTCAGCTTAGAGGGAACACTGGTTGGGACTGCATCAAAGCAGCTTGAACAGCTGCTGAACACTAAATTTGCTGCTCCCAAATAGACATAAGCCCACTCACAGGCATTATCTGGGAGTTGGGTTCTGACCTCAGCCACTTAGCAAAACAGTTGTCAAAGAGAAAGTAGAAAGCGCTCCTTGGGCTTGAAGCCCAAACTGATAGCTTGGTGTGGGGGAACGAAAAAGGAATTCAGACGGGCTTCTGATCCCCCCCCCCCCATCTGCTGTTTCTTAGCAACTCTGTGAGGATGTTGGGTGATCAGAAGAACATGACTTCTATCTGATCATTTGGGAGTTGACTCCTGATTCCCACCCCGCAAAATTCTTTGATCGGTGCAAAGCAAAGTTTTCCTAGGATATCAGAAGCCAGCTCCCAGCTGATCTGTCATCAGCTGTTCCTGCGAATACACACCAACAGGTTGAAAACAGCCCAATGGGAAATGAGTTGAATTGGCAGGTGTTTGAGCATCCTTTATTAAGATCTTATTTGATTTCAGCAATGAATTGTTTGTAAAAACTTATTTCATACTGTCATATCCTTGTGTTTGGTTCAATGAAACTTTACAATCCTCATACGCCTAAAAAAAATATTCAGTATTTCTATCCTTAATACTGCATGTGTTTTGCAAGGATTTGACTAAGGAGAATGAAAATACTTCAAAGCTGTTAAGAACATTTGTTCATACTAAGTTAAAAGACTGATGCTTGTCCATTCACAACTATAGGTTTGCAGACATAGTATCCAAGTGTTATTGGATTGTGCATAATTTGTAGCCAGGTACAAACAAGCATCCATATTTAAATTCAATGTTTGGTTCATCAGCTTCTTCACGTGAATATATTTTTGACCATTTGAATAGATGACATGGTTCTCCCTTCCCTCATAAAAGGATACAAATGACCCCAATTCTTACATAACATTGCCTGGATCCAGAAATCCTTATTTGTTGAGATATACATAGAGATCTCTTGTACACATGGGGAATGGAACATTCATTCTAGTCAATGTGTGCTATCCTTTGCACATGTAGATATGTTTAAAGAGGGAAGTTATTCAAGCGATTCTGCAAATATACAGAGGTATTGTTTCCAGAACAGATCTGTTGATTGTGTAACTAAACACAAAATCCTGGCTGAGGACTCGTTAAATTTATGGCTTGGTCCTTCTTTCTTACAGGTTGTCTCTCCCAGCTGAAGTATGAAGTTTGGACAGGAAAAAAGTAATAAGGGTCCATTTAAATTAAAGATATAAACTGATTTTTAAACGGTTTAACTGATGTGTATTCTATTTTGAAACCTTGAGAACTGTAGCGTTGCCAAGGTACTGATACTGACTCAATGAATTTTGTAATTTCCTTCACATTAGAGTAATTGATGGCCAGAACCTACTACCATTACTGCAGGGATCAGCACAGCACTCAAAGCATGAGTTCATGTTTCACTATTGTGGGTCATATTTACATGCAGTGCGCTGGTACCAGAAGGAGAGTGAGTATAAAATGTCTGCCTTTGTAGCAGATTTCTATACCTGAATAAAAAGAAACCTTAGCTCAAAGTCTGAATCGTTAAGCATGGTTGAATTGACACCTATTTGTTTGTTTATTTGTTAAAAGTTTGAGAAGCTGTACTGTGATGGATTCCATACTTCGTGTGTCTACAGATTAAGTCATTGATACTGCCTCACCCAGCTCTGTTCCTTAAACAGAGTGAGGTGCAACACAATAGATAAAGAGAGTAAGAATTTTGAATTGACCTGAAAATGTGCACATTTTTACATTTCACATCACTTTCCCTGGTTCCATAACAGGAAGTTGACTAGTGGTGTAATGAAATGCCCCACTAGAGGGCAGAAATACCTATGGTTTCCCCCCCACAACTTCTATTTCCTTTCCTGAACAGTGACTGTCTTCAATGTTTTACAATAACAGAATTTCTAAGTGGTTATGCTATCTGAATGATTAAGTTTGATCATAGCTAACTGTAAACCCTGTTAGCCTTCATGCCCCAAATTAGTTCTAATGCACAGTGACAATCACAAAGTTTTCAGCGCCTGGCAACAATGAAATGAAAGCTACATCCATGCTTTGATCTCTGTACAAGGCTGAATGTCAGCTATTAAGAACTCAATCATAGGAGTTTTTGAATAAGTCTGAATGGATTTTGTGGAATTACAGGTAACAAAACAAAACATTGTGGGTTAGCAAAACCCTTCTATTTTTACATGTATCCAACTAAATAAAACTTGGACACAACTCTCCCCCTTGTGGACGACTGTCCTCTTGAGTGTTATTTTTAGAGCCAAAGGCTTTGTGAAGGGAAGAACTGGAATCAAAACACATTTCCTGGAAAATGTTCCATTATGAAGAACCAAAACATCCTTTTCAAAGGACTAGTAAAAGTCCAAAACAAGTCATTTAACAAATTTATACTAGGATTAATCAAAAACAAAACAGCAAGCTTTTGAGTTGCACAGAACTCTCCATCAGGCTGGATGTTTGATACAAAACAGCAGGTGAGGGAAGAAGATATTTGGGGACATGATGGAGATGCATTTGTGTGACATACAGGTTGTGTTAGAAATGCAGTTGAGTCAGATATTAGAACATAAGAACATAAGATAAGCTAATGTTGGATCAAGCCAATGGCCCATCCAGTCCAACACTCTGTCTCAAGCCAATGGCCCATCCAGTCCAACACTCTGCCCTGCCAAAAATACCAGGTGCCATCAGGAGATCCACCAATGGGGCCAGGACACTAGAAGCCCTCCCACTATTGCCCCCCCAAGCACCAAGAATGCAGAGCATCAGTTACCCCAGTCTGAGAGTTCCTATCTATACCTTGTGGCTAATAGCCACTGATGGACCTATGCTCCATATGTTTATCCAATTCCCTCTTGAAGCTGTCTATGCTTGTAGCCAACACTACCTCCTGTGGCAGTGAATTCCATGTATTAATCACTCTTTGGGTAAAGAACTACTTCCTTTATCCATTCTAACCCGACCGCTCAGCAATTTCATTGAGTGCCCACGAGTTCTTGTATTGTGAGAAAGGGCGAAAAGTACTTCTTTCTCCACCTGCCCTATCCCATGCATAATCTTGTGAAACTCAATCATGTAACCCCTCAGCCGTCGTTTCTCCAAGCTAAAGAGCCCCAAGCACTTTAACCTTTCTTCATAGGGAAAGTGTTCCAACCCTTTTATCATTCTAGTTGCCCTTTTCTGCACTTTTTACAATGCTATATCCTTTTTGAGGTGTGGTGACCAGAACTGTAGACAGTATTCCAAATGAGGTCACACCATTGATTTATACAGGGGCATTATGATACTGGCTGATTTGTTTTCAATTCCCTTCCTAATAATCCCGAGCCCAGTGTTGGCCTTTTTTATTGCAGTTGCACACTATCTTGACATTTTCAGTGAGTTATCTACTACGACTCCAAGATCTCTCTCTTGGTCAGTCTCTGCCAGTTCGGACCCCATCATGATGCATTATTGTGAACCAATCAGATCCTAATGCCAGTAGGAGTAATAGAAAATAAGGTGGGGGGAAGAACTGAATTGTGTATCTTTATTTTTTAAAGCCCATTTCTTTCTCCTAGGTGGTGCTCTCTGGAAAGCCCATTATGTGACTCCAAAATTCAATCCAGAGGGGGCTGGAGCCTGTTATGGACAAAGGATGTGCCAGTGTTTTGAGGAGGCAGTAACCCACCACAACCCTCCTCTGCTTTTTGATCTCTTACATGACCCTTCTGAAGTCAACCCTTTGTCACCAAATTCTGAGCCACTGTTTAACACAATTGTAAGTCAAATCAAAAGAGGGATGGATGAGCATCGCAGGACACTCACTCCTGTCCCCGAACAATTTGCTGAGTATAATAATATGTGGAAGCCATGGCTGCAGCCATGCTGTGGTACTTTCCCCCTCTGTTGGTGTAATAAAGGAAGTGGTGATGATGACGGTATAAGTATTTTTAAAAATGAGTAACCAAGAAATCCTCTTTAATAAATGTTTTTAGTGTCTTACACTCAATCTGTTCTGGTTCATTTGAGAAGGAATTTGATACTAGAATGTTTGTTGAGGAGAGTAAGAAAGGCTCAGACCTGTTTGAATGAAACATTTTATTCTAATGAACTGTGTTAATGGCATCAATAAACTATGGGTTTTAATTAGGGGCTTGACAAGAGCTTGAAGCCATTCCGTTCAATTTTAGAATATGGTTTGCGTCTGAGGATTTTTAAGATAAAAGATTTATGTCTGGGGAAAGCAAAACACCAGTCAGAACTGCCTCTAAAACTTCTCCACTTGGAGTACAGAGAAGCGTTGTGATTGCATCAGGGTTTTCATACAGGAACATAGTGCTTTATTTATTCCATATAGAGCTAGTCCTAATCACAGCACTTCATACCTGCATGGTGTTTCTGTCTACACTGGTCCCTGCAGCTAGAATGTGTGAAGTTAGCCTGGTTTGAGGCTAATAATTAGAATACAGATGCTGCCATTCCACAAAACATTTCCCATGCTTCTGGTTTTGCATTCATCAGGATCACAGTATCCAGAACACAATGTTGGTTACCTTTTCTGCTATTACTGATACAATCACTGAGAAGTTTTCAAGAGGTTGTAAATGAAGAGGGAATAAAAGCTGCTTGGATAATTCCCTATGTCAGTGCACAAACTCTTTCATACAATTTGTACAGCAAGCTTTGAATTTGGTAGAGAAACTCCAAATGCAGTTTGACTTTCCTCATTCAGGGGTCTTGTACAAACTACTTGCATAACAAAAATAGCTGTTCCGCCAGTGGAAGCAGATCTTTGAACCCTAGCCCTGACAGGCAGGAAGGAATAGCCATTTTGTTTTGAACACACGGATCACAGACTAGCAACTGAGTTGTGTGCGCCGAATCTCAATTTATTTTAATGGAGCTTAAATGCCCATGGCTGCTGCAGTCACAAACTCCAGCTCTATTCCTTGTAACAGACCTATCTCAATATTGCTAAATCTGAGAACTTGCATTTAAGTGGTGATGATGAAACTAAAGCAGCTCGGCTGGTATATCTAAAGTAAATGGCTAGCTTCCCCACATAAAAGGCAGAATAAGCAGAGCTGAGACCTTGAGAAATTGTAATATTCACCATCTTGAATGGCTGTCCCTTCTACAGAAATCATTGTTAAGTTTCGAAAGGGAGCATCCAGGCATGATTGACAAGCTTACTCAATGAGTAAAGTGCCTGGTTTAATCAGGTGAACATAATCTATTCAATGATGTGCATGCCCATCTTTGGATGAGGCACATCGAGAATTCATTCTCCTTTGAAATGATAATGGATTGCATTGTGTTTATAGAACTTTTAAATCCTTTCATCACTTTACTTGGCTTCATCCTAGATATTAAATTTGCCTACCACTCAATGAAACACACTTAAAAAAAAAATCACTCCTTCCGTCTTTATTGATGGCCACAATCAGTTATACAACTTCCTCTGATATGATTTTTCTCAGTTAACAAACCCAATTCTTTCCCTAAGTGGTGAAAGTGGCCAAAAAAATCTATATAAACATGTACCCCTTACATCTAATGAACGGTTGCACACACTTCATATTCAGCACTGTACCACAGTACAAAATTCTCTTAAGCAGACTGAAGTATAATTCATACCACATCCGAGCTGTTATGAGAGTGAATAGAAGGCAAAAATTGCAGAGAACCTTGTACAGTGGGAAGACCTAATATCATACTACTTGACTGAGAAGCTCGATAGATCATTGGGCTGAGGCTCTACAGCACAATCAAGTAAGTAATCAGTGTGTAGGATCTCAGAATGATTCCCAAGGAAAACTAAATGTACATTCTTTTAAATCTCCCATTCAAGGTCAAAGTACCTAATAGCAGCTATAGACACCACACACAAATTCCAATAAAATTAATGGAGAAAAATAGGCAGATGTAGAAATCAAGAGTATAAAATGTTTTATTTGAACCGTTTTATAAAATAATGATTGGAACACACAGAAGGTTCCATTACTTGCTAGGTTTTAAGTATTTACAGAACTATTAAGTATTCATGCAGGATTATAATAATAGATATAAAATGCAGATACTGACAGTGAGCACCTCCCGATGCAGCTTGCAAAGCTAAATATGTATCAGCAGCTATTTAAGGAATCCCTTTCTAAGAAACAATGGTGGTTAGTTTACAATTCTGCTTTTCCAATTATGAAACTTTCACAGTAATAGAAAGGATATATGTTTCAGTAGAAATTATCTTAACACACCCCCAATTAAGCAAAGGGCAAAATATATTTTTCTTGTTTTGGCAATGGTCTCATATTGCCTTCACAGATATATATGTGCCATACATTCTTGTTCTTTAATGGATTGTTTACAAATGAAGTTGCCTAATAAGAATATACCAATGAGAATTATGTTCTCTCAATAAACTGTATCTCTCCCATTACCATCAAACATTTTAAGGATTTAGTACAGTAATAGGTGTGTTTGTATAGTATTTGTTGACTGGGTAAAAATGTGCAATGAGAAAAAATTATTTGTTTCAGTGCCATCACTTTTTTAAAGGTTCTGTCGTTTATGTTCTTAGTTATGTATAGGACTAGATATGCAATTTAAAACATACAGTGTTCATCTTACTAAGTTTGCCAACAATTGGGTCTCTTTTCCCAAAGTACTGGGGCTTATCTACTATGTGAATAGGTCCAACCAAAAGGACTAGGTATCTGCCTATCTTGCACCTGTCAAAACAACGTTTCATCCAAACTATTTTATAGTTAAGAACATAGAACATAAGAGACGCCAATGTTGGATCAGGCCAAAGGCCCATCTAGTCCAACACTCTGTCACACAGTGGCCAAAAATACCAGGTGCCATCAGGAGGTCCACCAGTGGGGCCAGGATATTAGAAGCCCTCCCACTGTTGGCCCCCCCAAGCACCAATAATAATGTATCATTTTGTCTGTTCAAGTTTATTCCCAAATATTTAACTAGATTTAATGTTGTATCACATCCTGTATTTTTCTTAATGTTTTTCTCTTCTTGTTTTGCTAACGATTTTGGGATTATTTTCATTTTTTTCCTATTAATTTTGTGGCCTGAAAAGGACCCAAACTTTTCAATGTGTTCCATTACATACTGCAACGACAGATGAGGATTTAAAATTGTCAGAATAACTCTTTAATTTGAATTCTACTCCATCAACTTCCAGTCCTTCAATTTTTGAGTAATGTCTTATATCTTAGAAGCAAACACTTCTGACATGAGGATAAATAAAAGTGGAGAAAAACTTTCCCTAAAAGTTCCTGAAAGCAAAACTATGGGGATGATCCAGAACCCACATATGGATGATTCCTGCAAGATATCTAAAGGCCAAAACAGAAAGGGGAAAATGGCAGGTCCTTACCTCCATATTTATTGATTCAAAAATATTTACTGATTCAATGTGGCAGGTCCTTTGCCTCAATGTTTATTGATTCAAAAAAAATTATCATGCCTTATCTTTACTCCAGGCAGGAAAAATGGAACACATTAAAACACACCAATCTAATTCACATCACCATTAAAATATCACAGGCCTGTCCAAAAAGTTTCATTGTCCAGAAGAATCACAATATACAATTATCTGGAAATGCCCTTCCACAGAGGACTTGCAGAAAACTGCCTGTGACAAAGCCCTCAGAACAGGAACAAGACTTTGCCCAGAAGGTCTGAACATGGCAAATGAAGTGTACTGCTTAGAGAGACTGGTGAGAGGACATAAACTGGCATTTGGATTACTGATACAGGGTGAGGTCATGAAGGGTTCGAAGGCAACAACCAGGTACATAGTTAGCCAATAAAACCTTTTTAAAACCAGCGTGAAGTGCATAGGGCACCCAGCACCTACTAATAGGCAAGCAGCTACATTTTGAATTAAGCTTCTCAGTTGTCTTCAAGAGCAGTCCCATTTAATGCATATTGCAATAATCCAAGCAGGAGGTTACAGAAACATGCAAGAGCATAGCAAGATTGACTGAGGGGTTGATCAGATGACATGTTCAATGAATGTTGGGTTGGGGGGGGGGGGAAATGCCAACTCAATTCAGTTTTAATGTGTGACCTGGGACTCACCTTAAAAACTGACTGTAGGGTCAAATCAGCTCCCAAGCACAGCACATTGGCAAGAAGGGCTTCAGCATTTCCTCCTTTCCACCCCATACACTGTCATGAGGCCGTGGGATAGACAACTGCCCCCCGGCCATTTCTTCTAGCAAAAGTGCACAGGGTAGAAAGGAGGGAATGTGGAATCCCCTCCTGCCGCCATGCTACACTCAGCAGCTGATCTGGCCCCACATGCTATTTTTAAGGTGAGTCCCAGGTCACATATTAAACACGTTGGGTTGGTGTTACCCCTGACCAAATTCACACTTCAGGCATCATCTAATCAAACCCTGAGTCCAGAAAGAGAAGACAAGTTATGAACTCAATGTAGATGAAGGAAAAAGGCAATCCTAGAAAACGTTTCAGTGCACTTCAAGTGTAAGGCCAGGTCCAGAACTGTCAAGAGACAGCCTATCCAAGACAGGAAAAGTCATCCAGACCATCCATCAGATTTCCCCCACAGTACCACTTCCATTTTGTCTGGATTCAGTTTCAACTTATTCACCAGCACATTAATAACACACACATCAAAAGTTCTGGATGATTTCAATTAGTGACGCAATACAGATTTTAAATAATATAACAAAACACAGAGCCTCTGGATCCTAAGAAGATCATTTACCTTACCCAGATGTTATTCGAGCTCTATCAGAGAAAGAGGACAGAGACCAACAGAGAGCAGCCCCCAAAATTCCTAAGACACATTGTAAGAGTTCTGAAACAGTATTATGGTGGGTTTTGTTGGAAGTTACATCATCCAGTAGGTACCACTAAGTAAAGCCTTCTCCAGCTCTTAGCCAGACTGAAATGGAGAAAGGGAAGTGGTGTCATTCAGTTCCTCTGCCACCACACCCTCAGTTTACCCAAAAAAATGGTGGTCTCATCATAACCTTTTCAATTCTTAGGAAAATTATCCTCCATCAATGAGAAGTTAATTACCTCAGCTAAAAGGAATCTCAGATTTTCCTGGCAGGATTTAATTAGCCAGCAAGGGCAATGATCAATTTGGAAGCTGTGGCTCACAACTCCAAGTATCCTGCTCACAAGTCAGGAATAGCAATTCAAAATGAGCTGAAAGTCACTCATTCTCTGAAGCACAACTTGTTTGACACAAGCTTGGGGAGGGGAAGCTGGAGAAGAGGATAAGATACTTCCAGATGTCCCTATGAGCTCAATGCACTACCTGCATGCCAGTAGTCTGGGGAAGGGCAGGTCTCCAGTGGATCTATATCAATCTTCCATGCATCAGTGCTTTGCTTATGGTGCACTGATCATCCCTGCATGCATTCAGGTCTACCTTAAAATTCTTTGGACATTTCATGACCAAGATCTGTACTCTACTGAAGAGTATAATATTTGGTGTAAAGCAATTTTCCATAGCACGATTTCAGATGTAGTGAAAGACATCTGATGAGGCAAGTCAGTGTTAAAAAGACCTTTGTATTTAAATATGCATAGGTAATACATTGCCCTCTATGAGAGAAAGTATGATGTTGGTTTCCAAATGTTGACCACATTCATAAAACAGAAATTGGTCCAAGAGGAAACAACTTTGGGCCCACACTGAGCAGAATGCAAAGCAAAAGGAATGCAGGTTGAGTGGTAGCAGTGTTTGGCAGACAGATTAGTTCCTGATCACACAGAGAACCTGAGTTGCATCCAGAAGGGTCAAGGTTAATTATCTGCCACCTGCAGTTAAAAAGTTCCAAGGGAGAGAGGCTGGGTCAGATGCTACCTGCAACCCTAGAATGCTGATGCTAGTTAGGGGAGATAGTGTTTGCAAGGATGAACCAATGGTCTGATTCAGTAAAATGCAGCTTAATAAACCTATGGCATTTCATTCTCTGGGACAAAGTATTGCCACAATACAGATGCACATACCAAATACAGCTATTTTTGAAGTGGGTTTTTTCCCACACCACCCCCTTCTCTGCAAAACAACCAGGGTCTTACCTGAGAGATTTTACATACATGAGAGATGTAAACAGTGATTTTACTGTAGGAGCACAAAAGCAAGATCTATAATAAAAAAGAATCCAACTTTTTTTGAATGTTTTCAAAGGCATCCTTTCCCAGATAATCAATGTGGCCTTCCTCCCATTTTCTTCGTTGATCTTCTGCACTTGGTGGTTCTGGTTCTGGTTGAATAGAAAGCTCTGAAACAGAGCTGGTAACCTCTTCCTATGAAACATCAGCAAAAAGGAGGAGATTCAGAAGCTCAGCTTATATTATTTTAACTAATGTAACAACCAAGCCAGAAAGCCAGTTTCAATATTCTAATGCAAGCACTGAATTTGCAGTTCTCTGAGCAACTTGAATACACACATTACAAAGAACAGAGTAGTTCAGGTTACCTGAGAAGGATCTTAGGACAGGAAGGGTAAGTGCATGTACTATTTGCTCTGAATGCCTTATGGAAAAGTAAGTAAGCCATAATTTTGGTTCCAGACTTTAAAATATCTGGAACCTATGGGAGCAGACACCCCACTTCCAAGCAATGTAGTGTTTTAAATGTCAAAACACATTGAATTGGACCCAGGAGTGGATTGGTAGCCAGTGTAATTGCTGTGATATCAGGGTCACATGCTCCTAATAGCTGGCCCCAACCAGCAGTCCAGCCGCCATGTTCTGCCCTATCGGCAGCTTCTGAATGCTCTTTAAGGGCAGCCCTAAGTTGTGGTGTATATCTCTTTAAGATTAAGTTGTATTGTGCTATCCACCTGAAAAGGATTAAGAGAGGTACTCCTCCCTCTTTATGTTTTTAAGCCTCCTTCCCTGCAGGTCGGAACAGACACTGGTAAGATGACATCACTTCCTGTGTGATGCTGGCAACAATGTACATTTATTTATGTTGTTAGCCGCCCTGAGTCTGCCGAATGGCAGGGAGGACGGGATATTATTGTAAATATAAATAAATAAAAGCACTCCAAACCACCACAGGTACCTGGTTTTCTAAGATGACTTGCTATGTTGAGCAGCACTCCCAAGTTGTGAACCTGGCTTTTCCAGGAGAGTATAACCCCATCCAAGACAGGAGAGATCTCAAGTTCCTGGTCTGCATTTTTTAAACCAAGAGAACCTTGTCTTGTCAGGGTTAATTTTCAGCTTGCTCACTCTTATCCAGTTCAGTACTGACTCCAGGCACTAGTTCATAACATCAACAGCATCCTTGGAATTAGGTGGAAAAGAAAGGTGGAGCTGGGTATTGTCCACATATCGGTGACATTGCAGCCCATAACTCCTGAAGACCTAGGGGCTTCATTTAGATATTAAATAGCATGTGGGATAAGATCAAACCCTGAGGAACCCCAAAGGCCAGTGACCATGGGGCACAGCAAGAATCCCCTAGGACTAGGACTTTTGTCTGTATAGGAAGTATGTACAGTAACCTCCTGGATTTCTTAGAAACTGCTATATGTTCCATATAAATCTTGGCTCTATGTGAAACTACAATTTGAAATCTGAAATTAGATAATAATTGTTATCTAAAGTGAGCCATTATGCATCGAATATGCTGACTTTAAAATCACTGTACTGATTTAACATAAGAACATAAGAACATAAGAGACGCCAATGTTGGATCAGGCCAAAGGCCCATCCAGTCCAACACTCTGTGTCACACAGTGGCCAGAAATACCAGTGCCATCAGGAGGTCCAGCAGTGGGGCCAGGACATTAGAAGCCCTCCCACTGTTGACCCCCCCCCAAGCACCAAGAAGACAGAGCATCACTTGCCCCAGAGCCCCTAGCTATACCTTGTGGCTAATAGCCACTGATGGATTTGCTTCAGCGTTTAATTCTAGGTGTTGGGAGCTACACATTTAAAGGATGAGCTCTCCCAGTATGAATCTATGTGGCAGCTCGAACGGCCAAGTTAATGTCTCTATTCTCTTTCCTCTCGTGCCCTGCCACAACCCCGGTTACGGATTTTCCAGGGGTGTCCCCCACATTGTGGAATGGCCTAACTGGGCACGTTAGGAAGTCATCTACTCTTTTGACCTTCAAGCAATATTTGACTTAACCGTTTCATGGGGCCTTTCAACTGGGCTAGGAAGAGCTGAAAGTTTCTTCTTGTGGCTTAGTTAGTTTTTCATGTTTTAGTGGATTGTTTTTTTTAAAAACTACTGTTTTAAAGCTACTCAAGAGTCCTTTACTGGAGACAGACAAGCTTAAAAAAACATTTAAGAAACATTAATTATTTTATTTGTTATACACCCGAAGCAGCTTATTGTTCTCTACTCCTCTATTTTCCTCACAATAACTACCAAGTGAGGTAGGTTTGGCTCAGGGAGTGTGACTGGCCCAAAGTCAGCCAGCAAGGTTCTGTGTCAGAGTGGAGTAGGGTGGCCAGGTCCTACCTGGCTGCTGGCGGGGGGGGGGGGGGGGGGGGGGGGGCGAGCCGCGCC